GCATGCGACCAATATAAACCGAAACCACATCAAAAGCAACAGAACCGACCAAGCAAAGCCAGGAAAAGCAGCCAAAGGAGTCGAGAGCCGAGAGCTGAGAATTCTCTCTCCGGACAACTTCTGATGTATCCACATAAATCCGGTTTAATTAATTTAACCTGTCAAGCCGTTTGATTGCATTTGAATGGCTTCAATCCAATGAAGTTGAAGTGTTACATGCAAGTCGGCATATAGTGCCCCAAACGGAGCGATAGAGAGGGCGAGAAAGAGAGATAGAGAGGGAGAAATAGCAAAAGAGTGTGTCTGTTGCACTTGACAAGGAAAATTGATTTTACTTCGTTCACTGGCATTTCATTTCCCTCGCGATTGTTTTGGAATTGATATTGAAAGCTGTCAATTTGCATTTGACATCGTTCTCCATTTTTGCCAAAACTGCACTTTTCCCCCGTTTTTCCTTTTTCTTTTACTTTTACTCCCTGTGCAACCGATTTTCCCTGCTGCTCGTAGAGTCGCTTCGTTTATATACATTTATTTTTTGTTGTGATTTTTTCAGTTGATTTGCCTGCCATTTGCCATTTGGGGAATGAAAATAGGTATGGGTCTTGTATGGGAGCGGGAGTGAGAGGGATGGTGCGCTGGAGAACTGTAGCACTGTAAAATCGCTGTTTGACTTTGATGTGTTTGACATTGTTTTCGTTTTTCGATTTTCCGGGGCCCCACAAAACGCTCGACATTTGCTTTAGAGAACACGTTCCGGCAGCAAGAGTGTGTTCAATGGAATCAGAGGGTTTGGGGTTCCTGGGCCTGGTCTTCGATTCCTTGTTTATGTCAACGGCAATGACTTTGTCATGTCACGGCCTTTATTCAGAAGGGTATTCCCCACAAAACCATGCAAAAGCCACACAAACACCAATACCAACCCCAATAGTATTATCTTTGCTGTCCATCAATTGAAGAGTTTTGGCCCCAACACTTTCGAACCTCAGATTCCCTGCCTGACTTTGTCACATTTAATTATTTTATTTCAGCAAATTATGCCACACGAAATTACACGTTTGTCCGACTATAATGAAGCCATATGCTCGTGCTACGAGCAGTAGTAATATTCCATGAAATATGGGTGAAGTGTGGGAGTGCATTTCCTCTACTCTTGTGTCGTGTCTGCCGCTTTAAAGGCTACTTTGGGGCAGCAGTGGGTAAAATGTTCGCTTTAAATATTTACCGCGCTGAAGAGCCAGAAGCGGGCTCATAAATATTTAGGAAGCTGAAAGCGAAAAAATATGAATGGAGCTGGTGATGGGACGATGGGTGGATGGGATCTGCGGAATAAATTGTTAACACGCATGTGCCGAGAAAATAATGCGAATGATGAAAATTAACTGAAAAGTTTATTAAATATGCAACAGCGGGGGAAATGCGTGAAAGGTGGGGAAATGGAACTGAGGGAGGCAAGAGGCAAGTGACAGCTAACGAAGGAGAAATAATGAACGTTGAATGTTTAAACAAAGCGAAAGTCCTAGACAATGCCGGGGAGCACAATTGGCGGGGACAGTGGCGGCCACGGACGTGCGGCATTCAAATCTAGCCTACAACTTTGCTTAATGCAATAACCATGTTAGGGGCACGCCACAAGAAGCAGGACACGGACTAGGACGAGTAGGCTACAGCAGCAAGGAGTTCGGGGGGCAAGGTGGAGATGGAGACGGTGGTGGAGGCGCACATGTAAATGGGAACACGGGCAGCAACAATTCCCTGGGAAGTCAACACAGCGACACACACACAAACACACACAGAGGCAACTGGCTTCATTTTGTGGCAAGAAACACAATCAAATGCATTGGCCTAAGGATACTGCCATGTTGGCAACAATGAGAATTTGCCACGAGAGAGAGAGAGAGAGAGAGAGAGAGAGAGAGAGACAGACATGGAGCTGGCAGCACAGCGGGGCACACCTCTCTGTCATTCATACATTTCTGTCTCATGGCCGTGGCCCGTAGAGGTAATACCCGACAAAAAAGATGTAACCAATCCACCAATCTACCAGAAGAAAGTATAATTAAAATGATATTCTCTTTAGAAGCCCTTTTATATATCTGATATTTCCAATTTAAGAAAAAATTCCTTCAATGATCCTCCTGGAATTTACACGGACAGCGTGTCCGAGGGGTATATAAGAATTCAAATACCTCTGTGCTGCTGGTGCTGTTGCTATTTTCCTTCCCCATCCCCTCCGCAACACTTTTAAGCTTGTTTATTTGTATTTTTCTGCATTCAACGCTACCATGCCATGCCATGCCATGCCATCCCTCTCTGGGTCTCAGTTCCATTCTGATTCAAGCTCAACTGGCAGAGTGATATATGTGCCTGGCATGCGTCGCCCGTTGTTATATTTGTGGCCCCGACTCAGCCTCAGCTCTCCCCTTACCACCTCCCCTCCCGTTTCTAGGCGGCATGAATTATTGTCGCTGTGTGAAATTTTCAATATCATAAAAAGGCAAACGCACTATATAGATGTTTCCCCATAAATGATTCGAACTACGGGAATGAAGGCTCCCTGGTAGCACTTTTAGAGCCCCATCTTTGATATGGGCTCGGCTCCTCTCAGCTCCTCCAGGGGTCTCGGCTAATTGCCAAAGTTGGTCCCCGAGCGCTAATCGGCAGTAAGTAGATTGGTTTTCGGCCATCGCCTTGTAGGTACAAATATTTAAATTTCCACAAATAATATAGGTATATGTATATTGTATCATTATCGTTTAGCATGCGCAATCAGCATGGGGTGCGGGTCCCTGCTGCTGCTTCTACTCCCGCTCGTGGAGCATCCTCGTGATCCTAGTCCTACTACTGCTCCTGCTTTTGGTTGTGGCTCTGTTTCTGTCTCTGGCTTCCTGCCAGCCTGCCGATTTAATTCGTTTGCATAAATTTCCGTTGTTTTTTTTTTGTAGCTTTGGTGGGTCACAAAACCTAGTCCTGCGGCTCATTTATGTCTTCTATGTCAGGGGTTCCTTCTCCTTCTGTTTCTGCTTCTGGAAGGGTGTGTGTCTGCGTGCATGGCTCCATTTTTTATTATTTTGTTGTTTTGCGTTACGAAATTCGATTTTAATGTGCTGGCAAATGCTTTAAATATTTTCTTGTGCTCTTTGGGGGGTTGTGCTCTAAGCTCTTTTTCTGGCAACAAAAAAACTTCTCCTGCTAGTCCTATGCGTTCTTTTGTGTTTTTGGGAGAGTAATTGTCAATTATGCTGAGAGTTGGCCATCTTTAAGTTGATCAATAATTCATTAGAGCTCCTGGCCCCTGGCCCCTGGCCCCGGGCCCCTGACCCTTGCCCTCACCCCCAGTAACCGCTGTCCCAGCTGCTGGTCTGCTGGACCCCGACAATCGCTGTGGTTCTGTTCCTCGTTGGGTCATAAATCATCATTTATATTATTAACAAGGGATTAAAGCAGACAAGCCAAACTCTACACACGAACACACACATATGCTCAACGGAACACGGGAACACTTTCATATGCATATGCGAGAGTACATATGTGTAAGTGCGTGTTAGCCGGAAACCAGAACAACCGCAAGCGACAAGGGAGTGTGTCCGTCCGCCCGCTGCTCTCCGAAACGAAAGGCTTCTCCGGCAGCGAAAGCATCAAAAACGATGTTGGAGCTGAAGTCGAATCCTGTCCGACCACGGTCACGGTACATTCAGAGCTAAATGCGTATGCCTTCCTTGATTACGGTCGTTGACTCTGGTTTTCAATGATGATTTCATATCCGTTCTTCCAGGAATTGCGGATTATTCCAAGGACCGGATAAAAATGATAACATTGGCTGCTTCTATCAGCGACCACAAGGCTGAGGTTCACGCTCTTTGAGCCACTGTACTTCCTGCTAAACTAATAAAAGCCCTGACTCACCGTAACCGAGTCAGTGTCCGGAGTCTGAATCACTTTGCATCGCGCTGTCCCCCCTCTCTCTGTCTGTCTCTATCTGCTTTTGGTTCTCGGTGTGTGTTTGTTTTTGTGATGGACTGGAGGTAACTCCCGGCAGCTGTTGGCCTCCTGTGGCTTGCATGTTTTATAGTTTTGACCTTAATACCTGCGGACCCTTTCGCGATGAACATGAGCCGGAAAAAGAGAAGGGAGATGGAGCAAGAGCCACAGCCAGAGGCAGAGACGGAGCGTGTGAAGTTGTTTTTGTCCTTGGGGCTGCTGGCGTTAAGCTAAAAGCAAACACCTGCATCCACGTACCTGCCGCTTGCAATGGAAATGGGAAATGAAGATGTTACAGATGATCCAATCGAAGAAGGTTTTTCCTGGAGTGTTCTGTTCCGAGATTCAATGCATTTGGTTGCATTTCATGCATTTGATTAATAGGTGGATAATATCATTCCAGATTCCATTCCCGTGCGTTAGTTACCGGAAGCCGTAGCAAACATGGCCAGCAAAGGCAATGAGCATAGGCAAAGAGCAAAGGAGCTTCCATTGAAAGCGTGTGATAAATATTCCGGCAAACATCATGAATTATGAATATTCTAATTTGGATCATATCGCACTCATTAACACCTGACTGCCCTGTGGGCCCTGGCTCATCACTCTTTAGAATTTCTCGTCGTCCTCCGATGCTGCCAGAGGATTGCATTCACGAGCAAGGGGCCTAAGTGGATAAAGGTTATCTCCCACACACATAAAAAGTGGGACACACGCCACACCACACACGGCACACGGCTCTTCCTCTCTGGGCTTAGTTCAGTGTGTCAAGGTACAGCAGGAGGCCCAGAGAGGGGCAGCCAGTGCTGCCACAATACGAGTAGGAGTACGGGTACCAGTATGGCCAATTTGCTGTTGTCAATTGCCAATTACCAATTGCCGGTGAACAATTTGAACGGCTTAAATTGAAAGCCTTACAATCGCAGCTCGTGCATGTAATGAAATAATGAAACAAAGTGCTGCTCCCGGACAAAGGGTGCAGAGGACGAGGAGGAGGACGTGGACATGAAGGACACTTCTGCAGCTTCGGCCAAAATTTTTAATTAAAATCTTTGTGCCCTCACTGTGCGTACTTAATTAATTGCGTTGAAACCGGGCCAGTGGCCCGAAAGGATGTACCCCCGTGGAGGCGATTGGATTCATCCTATTCTCGGATTTTCTCTTGGCTATGCCACCGCCATCTGCTTCGTGATCCAAGGCATGAACACCACTACGTTCGTGGCCACCGACGGGTAAGTTTCAATACCGCATTGTCTCGACCCCACACTAACGATCCCCGCCTGCACGAAGCGCTGTTTTCCGTAGAAGCGGAACGGGTATTGCAGCGGTCCGCCAGAGTCTCCGGAGCAGCTGTCTTGTATGCCGGCAGATGTACAGACCTGATTCTCCGCGAACGCGTATCCCCTGTAGGCCTTGATACAGTCCTCCATGGAAAGATGTTTGACAAACGCCTCCATTGGCACATTGGAGGGGCGGCCGCTCTCAGTGCGCCCCCAGCCCGTCACCAGGTACAGCGTCTGACCCAGCACGTTCTTTTGCAGTGACGGATACAGCGGCAGGCATATGGAATTGATGTGAGCTGTAAAAAAGGCTATCAGCTCCTTCCTTTGATAACTGATCGGCTGATGGCCTTTGCTTACCTGAGTACACCACGTCCCGGTCCAGCTTTATGAGTGCTATGTCGTTCTGAGTGATGTTCTTCGGGTATCCCTCATGCATGATGATCTTCTCGATGCCTATATCCTGGTGGGGCAGCTGGCACCGTTTCTTAGAGCCCACCATGATGCAGTCCTCATCTGTGGTTATGTCGTGCTCTCCCAATCGAACCGCGATTCTGTGGCAGGATCAGACGTCGTTAGCGTTGATAAAGTCGAATGTATGTCTACTCACGGCAGTTCGTTGATCGAGCAATGCGCTGCAGTCAGTACGAAGCCTAGAGAATCAAAGGATCAGAGATAGTTCTAGTGGGGATCCTACTTACGTTTCGAGATGAGCGTGGCCCCGCAAAGAAACTGATGCCTGGCCATCGTAGCGACATTGTACTTTAGCAGGGCCATCCAGGGTCGCGAGCCCATCTTCACCCGTTGCCCATTCGTGACCTTAAACAACGTGAACTTGCCGCACTCCGTCTCATTCGTCAGCATCTCCAGTCCAGAGGCATTGATTTCGTCCTGGCAGCACACAAAGGTCTACCACGTACCACGTCATGAAATCATCTGGTTATTCCTTCGAGATATCGTACTCACCGTATTCCTGTCAGAACATCTGGCTTGATTCCACATGTCTGTCTCCATTTTGCTTAGCTCGTGGCCGGATAGATTTTTCTGCACCAGTGCATTGATGGACGGACATTCTAGGTAGTGGACGCACCACCCAGGCCACCCCTCAAAGGTGCTACAATAGTCGGGATCTGTAACAATCGTAAAATATTTCGCAATTAGTGCCCGCCTATCAGCGATGCTCCGAGACCTCTGCTAACAGTCCTCTGCTCCCAGTCCGCTTCCGATAAGTGCTGCCAGCAGGCAAAACGTCAAGCTCCCCGACACACAGCCGATCATGTCGCCGGCGAGGTTTGAAATGAGCTGCAACTGATCGAGCCTATAGCTTCGGCAAAAGCCACACTCGAAAGCTCTACTCAGTCTACTCGGGTCTTATATTACGCTCAGCACTCCTAAGAGCACTTTGACACCATGTTTTGATGAGAGATAAAGAAGAACGAAGTTTGCTGTTGTTGTACATTGACGATCCTCCACTCTCTCTCGCCTTTCTGTTTATTTCGTACCCACTCTCGAATAAAGTGGATTATTTAGTAAATTCCAACGTTTTACATTCGGGAAATCGACTCTCTCCATTCTGACTCCTACAGCCTGTAGCTGCCAGCTAAACGGGCAATGCGAATGCTTTCAGCACGAAACAAGTGCAAATCAAATAAAACCTAATAAAATATATAAAAGGGCGAGCGCAGGTTGGCGCTCTGCCACCCTCCACGCCACCATTTTACTCTAGAAAAAAAAAGCACTCACGCATCAGATGCGTCCACACAATGCCACAGATGGCCATGGCAAAAAAAAAACAGGGATTCGACCATAAGATACCCTCTAGTCCTATACAAGTCCAAAAGGAAAGGTGGATAATGGCCAAAGTTATGAGAGCTACGAACTGGGGCCACCGGAATCACATGCTTCCGTCTGCCTGTTGCATACTCTACCACGAGTCCGGCTTTCCCTCTCCTCTGTGGGTCTCTGCCCGAGTGGCAAGTGTAAAAAGGGAAAACGAAACCTAAATGGCAAAAGAATCGAAGTCAGCAATTTTATGTTTTATTGAAATTCTTTCCTTTCACTCTCCTTTCTCCGCCCCATCCCCAGCGCCATCCCTAAATCTATTTTACAGTTCTAGCGCTCCCTCCCTTTCCCTCTCGTATTGGCCACGGTTTGTCATAAAGGGTAGGAGAGTGGCCCTAGCCAGGTGTGGATGCGTAGATGCCTGGATCCGTGGATAGCGATTCAGATACAGCCATTTGCCACGCACTGGCATCGAAAGGAAAAACCTGCCTTGAAGCGAAAAGCGCTTAAATCGCTGCTGCACGCATCCATCCCACTGTGCTCCTCACGACCTGCGCATATGTCATAAATGGGGTTTGGGTCAGGGGTCGGCTGGGTTGTAGAGGCGAAATGGAAATGGTTCTGTAATACCCCCAGCAGTGGCAGCAGGCAGGGACTCCATCGTACGGGGAGGGCGTACGGCGTACGGCCTTCGGCTTGCTAGCGGCTAGCAGGAACTTCTTGTTTATTCCTTTATCGGGCTTTCTGCGGCAAGCGAGCTGCAGTTGTGAGGCAGTTATAGATACGGATATCTGTCCAAACACATGTATCCACCTCCACCCTCGCCTCCCCCTCCGTTTGCGTGTCCGTGTGCATGTGCGTCCTTGCTCGGGGAGGTATTCAGGCGTGTTTAGGTTTCTCCATTGAAATTATTTCCCTTCGATGGGTTTTATGGGCGACAGGGAACGAATTGTTTTGAAGCGGGCATAAATTATGGAAAATTGTTGTACATATAAACATAATTTATGGTTGGCAATATGAAAGTAAATTCAATAAAAGGTCCCGGACCATACCATATCTATCTGGAGAGAATCCTTAAAAATGTCACATTCTTTTTATCATGGAAATGGAAAACCCACTAAATACACACAATAAATATATAATAAATGCTCGATCCTAATTCAATTTTCGCTGCCAATCCATAAATTATACTTTATTTCGGGTGTCGAGAGATAAATTAAATCCAAATTTCGTTTTTGATAACTTTCGGCATAACTCTTGGATTCGTTTGCTGTACAAGGTTGTTCCGCTCTCCTGCTTCTCCGTGCATCTGGCGGCGCCTTTCAGCGAGGGGGGGGGGGGGGGGGGGGTATCACAGAGGCTACTCACGCCCCGGCCATAAAAGTTTTATATCAACTTATGTACACTTACAACGGCCATTATAACGCATTAAACATAAACGCTGTTTCATGGACTATCGTATACCGCATGCCCCATGCTCCCTTCCTGTCTGCTATCTAATTGCCAAAGCCCGGCAACTTTCACACACTCTAACACACGCACACATACAAGCTGCCACACAGCCACAGATACTCCGTACATCCAATGAATGGGCTTGGTCTTCACCAGAAAAGCCCTGAGCGAAAGCCAAACGGAAACTTCAGAGTATGGCCCAGGCAATAAATCATTGGCGATGACTGTTCCAGCCCATGCTGCTGCCACTCCTGTTGCCCCTCCAATGCTACTGCCACTGCTGCAACCTCATTGAACATTAAAATAATTGCAGTGCAGAACTTGGCCAATGATTGTTCGCCGCCGTTGTGCACTTCGTGTTCATTAATGATAATTAAAAAAGTTTTCCGATCCAGCAGAGTCCTGCCTCAAGCCTCCATCCTCAAGCCTCAAGCGTGAGGGCCAGCCGGTCACCGGGCGAGGGAGGGATCCATTAAAAATAATGCCATAGTTTGCTAAACTGCATTATCCATATGGAATCAGTGCGGATCGAAAGAACACTCAAAGCTAATGCCATAATCATAGGGAATCGATGCCTTCCGCATTCGTATTTAAGAGATGGAGATGGAGCAGATGGAGCAGCTTGTTGCTCGACTTCCAGCAGTCACAGAAAGGGCCTTCGGGCGCTTTCTGTCCAAGAGACGAATGCAATTGCAGCAGTCATATTTCATTGCTGCCCCAAAAGTAGGCAACGACCAACATCCCATCCTCTGGCTCTGGCTCCAGCTCCGGGGCCTCCTCTATTTCCAACTCCTTGTTGTTTTGGCAAATGTAAACAAACATTTCTCCCTCCCCGAGAGACCGGGCGATAGAGAGAGATAGAGAGAGAGAGAGAGCGAGGAAGGAGGGAAATGCCTGGAAGCACGTGCTTCTGAGAATCGAGGATGCCCCCTGCGCAGACTCACCAGAGAGAGATTCGCAGTCGGAGAGCGTGTCCGTGTTGGGTTTCGGTTCTTCCACAAAAGTCAAGTTCGCATTGAAAAGCCTTTGTTCCATCCGGCGGCCATCAGTTCGTGTTGTCCGCCGGAGTAGACAGAACCAAAGCCCGCGAATCCCGGCCATATGTCGAGCATGTGACCACGAAAGATGCGAGACTTTTCCTCCAGAGACAATTGAGAAGCCGAAAAGCAGTGCACGTGTCTGTGGAATGTGAAAAGTGAAAACGCAACAGCAATAGCAATTGCAGCCGCAAATTCAATCTGAAACCCTCCTGCAAAGGCCAGGAACAGGACCAGCCGTGTTGTGTTTCAAATTGCGTGTCTACTCGTACCTGCCCCCTTCCGCACTTGCCTTACTTGATGGCTTTGACATTGGCGCCACATTTGCATCTAGCCGTGGGGCAGGTGTAAATATTCATTCCTCCCGCTGTGAAGAGTGGTTGCTTCTGCTGCTTTTAGCATAATTAAGAAGAAGGAAAAACTTGGTCAGATCCTTGGTACCAAAACTTTTAAGAGATCGCTGCAATCAACGGCAGCAGCTTTAAAGGCTCGGTCACTGGACTGTAGGGGAGTGGTGAGGAGTGGACTGCTGCCAGTGGACGTCTACGGCAAGGTGAGTAGTACCCCCAGTACCGGGCGCCACTCAACACTTTCCGTCTGGCCGCGTTCCCTTTGGCCAAGTTTGTGGCGTGCTTCTAAGTTGGTTAATTGAAGAAGGGCCCCGCACAGTAGCCGGCTGAAAAGTTAAATTGAATGTTGCAGTCGCAGAATCAAACGCAGAATCAATATTTTTCTTCTGGGGGAAGGGGCAAGCGATTCAATGAGGATTAGACGGCGGCTGTGCCTAAGGAGTCAATTCCCGACACTACTCTTGGCTTGACATAACAAATCCCCTAACTACTGTTGTTGTAGTGGTAACCCCTATTCTGTTTCACCATCTTTCTTTCTCCTTAAAATCCAACCGAAACGAAAAGAAAGGAATCCTTGGAATGGCTTAAGAGATCGTCGCAACGTTGCCTACTTTTCGGCTGCAAGAAGGGAAACTTTTTAAGTGCCCCAGCAAAAGGCGCAGAATTAAATTAAAAAATGGGAAACTGGGTAGCAAAATGCCTGGGAATCGGTTCCCGTCCTGTGCCGAGTCATGTGCAAACAGAAGAGGACTCTGGCTTCCAAATTCAATTTAGGGGAGCATAGTCGTGATGACGGGTGCCGGGTTCGGGGCCCTCATTCCCATTACAATAGTTAAGCGGAAATGTGTGTCCCAAGGGGCATCCTTGACGGAGCAGCAGAGCAGAGCCTTGGAAGTGTGTCAAAAGTACGTAAAACTGGCTAAGAGAATCAATCGAATCGAATCGAAGACGAAGACGGAGACGAGGGAGAAGCAAAAAACCAAACAGCCACGAGCCATAAAAATGGGCCAAAACGAAGGGACGAAGTAAACGTCAAAAGAAATTGAAATGGAACTCAAGCAAAAACTACTTTGTTTGCGATTAGCACTTGGCCGGATTATTGGCGTGAGACGGGGGTGCTTCGGGTGGGTGTTGGGTGGCGCGTTTGCCAAGAGGAAATGAAATGTGTGTCAATATATTGATTGAATAATGGTCTACATATTGACAAACAACTCAAAAGGCACTCGACAGGCAGAGTGTTCCCCTTTCCCAGTCCCAGGACTAGAGACGAAACCCAGTCATCCATGAAAGGCCTAAGGGGGTCTCGGCAGAGTCTCGGCTCACACACAGGAAGCGGAAGCATAGAGAGAGACACAACCAGACACACACACAGACATTCATTGACAGAGTCGCATGCGAAGATATGCCGAATCGGCAAATGCAAAGTGAGACATCAAAAGCGTTTCGAGTGCGTCGTCATCAATGTAAAGCAGCTGCCAGTAAAGGCATACGCCCAGATGAAGCTGTCCATGTCGATCCCCAAGACGATGATGATGATGATGATGGTTCGGAGGATGCTCATGACGAAGACACTGCCTAGACGAAAGACGAGATAGGGGGCGACACCAGAGGAAGAGTAGAGCAGTCTCTGTCTCCACTCCCAAAGTGTAACACGTGTT